AACTTTTACAACCTTTTCAACATCATAATAATATTTTAAGTTAGCTGTTGCAAAATGTCATATATCGGTCACCACTAAATTACAATGTAGTAGTGGAATATGATGTATCTTAATATTATAAAGAGGCACAGTTTGTTTGTTTGTTTGTTTGTGTGAATCCGATTGAAAAAAAAAATTGTATTACATAGCCCGTTTATTGAGTAAGATATAGCCTATATCATAAAAAAATTACGGTTTCCGTGGGATAGATTTGTTTTTTTCTAGGGATAAACCCGAAGCGAAGCGAGAGTGAGTCTCTAAAACCTTCTTTATTTAGTATGTAGTGTCTACATTACATTAAAACCCGAATATATATACAGTAAATACGTATAAACAGGTCTCATAGAAAAGAAACTATGTCAATATGATAAAGAAATTAATGATCCTTTTCATGATCTCAACGTAAAATCATATGAAAAATGCTATTTTACATTGCCAACTTAGGTTTATGATTAATTCTAAGATAGGAAGCACTAGGGTACAGTAAGCACAACACGGAGTTTATTCGAAAGAAAACGATTTATACCGAAGTAATGTAAAAAAATATTAAATAACCATATTATCATATATAAAAAACAAACTAATTTATTATTGCTTTATTTTAAATAGACATCGAATAGATATAATATACAAAATATATGTATAGATAGATGTGTATAATAATATATAAATATATAATTATTTAATAATTAAGTCATAATATGTGCGTTAGAAGTCGGAAATCGTGTGTAAAATTGTGGTCGCAAATAAGCAGAGTCAAAACATAAACAAACGCCAAGCCATTAGTTTAATCAATTATATAACATTTTCCTACCGACTAAATTTAATTAAATAACTTAGTCTCATTCTAACCTTAACAAATTTTGCTCCTAATTTTCTACCATTTTAAATTACATCTTAACTAACGTGCCTTAGAAGTAATAACAAGAAATTCAAGACGGTTAAATTCTCTCTCAAACACTTTATTGTTTCATAGATCTAATTCGGAAAGTTAGGTTAGAAAAGTGTAAAAGTACCCTGTCACAATATTCTGTTTCTTTTTAACTCAAGTTTATGTATAGATATAAAGATAAATTATTTTTTAGATAAAACCTGCTTGTTTAGTTTTCATCACAAATAGTCAATTATTTTTATTTTTGTGCGTAAATTGATTATAATTAAAAGTTTAAAAACCCCCCTACGCAAATTAATTGTCATTTAACCATTACACTGGCACGCGTAAAGCACTTAATCGAGTAATCATACGCCAAAATGCCTTACATCGTTTTGGATAAGAGCTGATACTCTTACACTACTAGACCAAACATAACTGAGAACCACCGCAAAGAAACTGGCTTTTAAATGAAGAAAACCGCATCGAAATAGGTCCATCCGTTTGAGAGCTTCGATGCCACAGCAGACACACACACACACACAGACAGACATCGACGTCAAACTTATAACACCCCTCTTTTCGCGTCGGGGGTTAAAAATGGTTATACTTGTACGGTTTTTCCTCAGATTAAAAAAAATATAGACATCGCATTCATTTATTACTTTCACTTTGACATTAATTATTATTAAGTATATGGAAAATATTCCCCTTTCGAACGTGCGAGGGTGGATGGAATCTTAGGGCTAAACCAGTGGTAATTCTATAATTGTTACATAACATTTTGATTATATTTTTATTTTTTAACGATTGCAGAAGAATTTCTTGTTCAAGCCATCCAAATTAAGCAATTTAACTATATGAAAATACGTCGATAGATCTCTATTTATTTGGTTAGCATTTAAAAATAAATATAACTCGTATTACTGTATATATTAAACTAGAAAACAAGAAAAAATATATCAACAAATAAAATAAACGATTTAATAAAAAAAATGTATTCTTCCATAATTATGAACATAATATTCTCCTAATGGTTCTTAATGGCATCTTTATATCTGCTTCAAAATTAATTAAAGTCGTTGCAAAATTGTTATTCTATATTATAGAGTAATATCTGTTATATGAAAGGGAGATAAAAATCACCAATCTTCCACGTATGTAATATTGAAATTGTAGGATAGTAGGTATATACGAATACCCTCTTCACTACATAGTATAAAACAAAGTCGCAAACCGTTGTCTGTCCCTATGTATGTATGCTTAGATCTATAAAACTATGCAACGGATTTTGATGTGGTTTTTTTAAAAGATAGAGTGATTCAAGAGGAAGGTTTTAGTATATAATTTGTTAAGTTTTTGTATATATTGGCTAAAATATACCGATATTTGTTGGAGATGTCGGAAAAAAATAAGCTGCCTGGGAGCTTTCAACGAAAGCCCTTCGAGATATTGCAAAATAATGTATGGTGGAATTATGTATCTGATATAGGTCTACAGAAAAGTCCGCAATGGTATATGTCTATCTTTAGTATTTTATAATACTACTTAGTTTCAACCATGAAAAATACAGACAAGGAGTCCAATCTCCATATTGTTTCATTTGAGGAATTCCTCCGCAAAAATTCTTAGAGCTATAATCCCATGAGTCGGGATGATTTACGTAGTTACGTCAGTAGCACGAAGTTAGCGATAAAGGTAATAAACAAATCAGTATGAATTTTCCCCTCCCTCTTGGGACATAGCAACCGCAGCGCTCTCTGCGCGCCCAGTATTATTTTTTCAAATTTTTCGGACAACTTTTACATACAGAGATTATACTCCTTGTCTATAGTCTTCATGGTTTCAATATTTGCATTAAAAAGATTTTAAGTTAACCGTTTAGTACTATAAATTTATTCATCTATATATTCAATATATCTGAAATGATAATTTTATTTCACGTATACGTATAATACGTTTGGGGCATGATGTAATCAGGAAAATTGAGTTAATTAACGACACGTTTGGCTCAGTTTGTAGTGGCCCTACTTGGTGAGCCAGCGTTCGCGGGTTCGAATCCCGCTGGGGGCATTCATTTGTGTGCTGAGCACGAATGTTTGTACTCCAGTCATGGGTGTTTGCATTTATAATATGTATGTATTTAAAGTTATATATGTGTAATGTATCAACTATCTGATATCCATAACACAAGCCTCGTAGCTTACTGTGGAACTAGATGCTGCTGTGTGTTAATGTCCTAAAATATTTATTATTATTATTTTTAAAACAAACTAAATTTGCTCAATTATATCAAAATTTGTATATCAACTAAATGATTCCACGAAAACAGTTGACAGTTTAGTATGTGATAAAAGAAAAAAAATGCAGCTTACAACTATTTTTTGTTTCATTTATTACTATTCAGTTAAAAAGAAACAGAATATTGGCGTGAAATTTAATGGTGAATTATATTTTAAAGCTTTAATTTAAAAGTCATAATACATTTAAATATTACGCTAAAGTTATTTTCAATTAATGATATTACAAAAATATAAGAACAAGCATCATTTTCTAGAATTACATTTAATATAAATAACAAGGAAATTAATGTATTTACACAACTGCATATTATTCAGTAATAATAGCTTCATTCGACGATTTAACGTGTGTAGATAGTGACAATGTAGAAAACTGCCCTCTTAACCTCGTTGTAAAGTTAAAAGTATATGGGAATGATAAATACTGCGAGCTTGGACAAGATGACATCTAAAATTCGTTTATGCCTAGTCCAGTTATTTGGTAGTTTTAGCTGGAGAGTTTTTCGGTAGTTTTGAAAAATGGTAATTGTATAGATTTCGACGAGCTCTTTCCGAGTTTTTACTTTGTCACCTCGTATTTTTGCCGATCGCGCCACCATATTGAAAAAATGGCGAAAATTTCCTATAATTTATGTAAAAATCTTTTTTTTTGTAAATGAATAGATTTAGCGTACGAGAGTTGCAAAGTCGACTCAACACACGTTTTGTCCAAAAACTCATTTCCACACCACATGTTAGGTAGAGTAAGTGGCGCGTTTTCTTATCATGGTATCTCCAGTGGGTTTGATCCGTAAATCAAATCAAAATATACTTTATTCAAATAGACTTTTACAAACACTTTTTCATCAATTTTTACATTTTCAAAATTTAACGTTTAGATTCATAGATTTTATAGTTCTGAGGGCTAAGTTTTCGAATAGAAAATTTAAATATAGTATATATGTTACTTCCGACAGATCAGATTTTTATTTGTAAACCAACGTAAATGTAATCTTGTCTAAGCTGTTTACTATAGACTGAACGAATATCGACGTGGCTAAATCCTAAGTAATACCGTAGATATTTACTAATTATTAACATCATTTCATTAGAAACACTTATAATATTTCTTTTCAGATTAAAAATGTTTCACATTTAGAACAATTTTTGTTTACCACAACAATGAAGAAATATAAATCCAACTCATTGTGAATCGCAACATGAAATAATAAATCGAGAACAAAAGCGGCTTATTATTTAACTTTTCCCATAATGTATTGTATAGACGGCCTAACGAGCACTGGAACACTCGTAAAATTAATTCTATTATAGCCTTCAAATATTCAGGATGGGGTTTTTATTTATTACTAATATTTTAGATTCCTTGCTTCCATTTTTATTAATATTTCATGTAAAATGACGATTTTTTTGTGATTTATTAATAACAATGATAACTAATCATGGTATGAGAAGATTAGCTTTAGAACTACTAACAGGAATTTCACCATATTTTTAAAAACTTTGCTTAGTTCAGTAACTAGTAAACTTTTGGAATAGTTTTTATAACTGCAGCCTAATAGTCTTTTTTGTATTCGAGGCTTATTTCTTATAGTAATTGATAAACAGACCATTTCTTAAATCTAAGTTATTTCTAAAATTCACACAATTCACTATGCGCATTAATTACAAAGCATCAAGACAAACAGATTGCAACTTACTTTTTATTTTGTCCATTCACAAAATCCTTACGATTTCTGACGTTTCAGGAAACCGAATGTTTTGAACACAAATTTTGGTAATCAGAAGTGCTAAGCAACAACACAGCGATTTTCATGTGAAGAACCGCCACCTGTCGAGGAATCTGGCAGAGGTTCAGAACTCCTGCCTCCACCACTCCACTCTAAAGCATCTATCATCTCCATTAGTTCTTTAAACAATGCAATTACTCGCCAATTGTATTTAGCAGAACACTCTACATAACCGCACTTCCAGTGTTTACGAACTAGGTTAACAATGTTCCTTCTTTTTTCTCTTGAATCACTGCAAGCACTTTCTGCCATTGCCAATTGCTGTAGTCCACTGGCCGCTGAAGGAGTTGTGCTGCAAAGGAGGTCCTGTTTGTTGCCGACCACCAAAACTGGTACGTTTCTCATATCCCGACTCTCAACCATCTGGTCTCTCAATGTTCTTATATACTGAAAGGTTTCTACATTCGATAAATCGAACACAAGTATGTATGCCGTAGCATTTCTTAGTCCATAGAAGCGATAATGTGCCCATTCATAGAAAGAATTGATGGGAAAGTATGGTATAACAGGTACGTCTGTTATTTTAACTTCATATAAGTGCTCGTTAATGATCACCGATGGATAAAACGTGTGCTTCCGGTCGGTAGGCACATATTCTTCTGAGAAGTCGCTCCAAACGAATTGCTGTAAACAAAAAGAAATATGATAATAAAAAATATCGAAATTAGAAGTTATGGTCCTCATCACTATCGAATGAATTTCTTGCAATTTCAATAACTATTGTATAAGGTTTGCAAAAGTGAATCAACAAATGTATACTTAAATTCCAACCTTATTTGGCAATAAAGGAAGGATATCGTTTGAGCATATTCAGAGTCACGTATCCTAATAATCTGTCATAAAACGGAATCCATCGCGACTTCGTGACCCTTGAGTCTTGTTTGTAGTTAATATACGTCATGGTTTATAAAGATATATCAAGTGAGTTCCGACAGCTATAAATAATCGTATATTTTTATGCTAAAATGTGCAACGCATATTCTATTTTTTTATTTACATATTTTAGTAAGCTATGACAGATTTTTGTTGTGATGGTCTTACATTATTTTATTGTCAGGATCCAACAAAAACTTATTGTATTTTACAGGTTACATGTAATGTAAAAAATGTGTGGTATATGTAAAAGCTCCTTTCAAAGATATGAAATTTTGTGATAAAATCGCTGCAATATGTCACAGAATGTCAATAAAAGCGATCGGCTGGAAAGTTATTTGTAATTCAGTACTGGACAGTACATTTTACACAGTCCTAAATACTTAAACTTCTATGATTGTTAAGGCTCCAAATGTTTAAATTTCATGATTTATAAACATATTATGATATAATAAATATGTTATTTTTGGGACAATTTTTGATCGAATTCTGAATTGCAAACGGTTTTGAATTACTTTACTCGAGAAAAAAAACACATAATTTTATTTTATTTTTACTTTCAATAATTTAGTAGGACTTAACATTATATATTTTTTTAATTTAGTAACTTTTTATTATTTTTAAATCAACTTTCTCTTAATCTTTATTACTTTTAAATCAACTAAATAACTTATTAATAAAATTTTATAATAACTTAAATTATATTATTACCGTACAATAAAGTATCATCACGGTAATGTTTTTTTTTATTAATTCTTAACGTACGAAAGTGTATTAAAATCCCAACAAGTTCGGATTGTATTCTGACGTCGGAACTACACGCACGTATACGTACGACTAACTCGCACGCAGTCTGCGCGCCTCCATAGTACTTGAAAGGTGTGGATCATTCGTGCGTATTCGAACGTGTTCGCACGAGTGAAATTCGGACGAAAACGTATCAAAAGTGCGCGCGGCCTTACCGTGGTATCACCGTTTAGAAAACAGTATCCGAGCGTAATCTACCATTTTATTTATAAGACGATGTAGCCATTCTATTATACATATTTATAATGATAAATATCATAAAAGCAGTCGGATATCAATAAATTTTATGATGCTGTTATTTTAACAAGTTTAGACAGGGAGACGATTTGATCCAAACCATCTGTTTTGTAAGACAATTTTGTTTCTTGTTTAATATTGGATTATCTTAAGATTAAGTTGCAAAATAACCTGTTAGAAATTCCAAACTCCAAACCAACCCTAAATTGAATCAATCACTATCGAATTTTCGTAGAGAGAAAAGTTGGGTGTCTCGTCAAAACGAAGCTACTCGTGAAGTACCAGCTTGTTATTAATTATTATACATTAAGAAAAAGACGTGGTGTACTGTACACTATAGACATAAATAAGCTCTACACAGATAATGAAAAATGTTTATCTTTAGTAAGAAGGAGCGTAAATTTGTTTGTTGTAGGTCCTGATTTTACAACCAATCGCTCTGTTTCTACATGTAATCAAATCCAGTGCTTTTTTCTTCTTTTTTACCGGTCATTCTATATGTAACGTGTCTTCTCCATTCTGCGTGACATTGGCGAAGTATATTGTGCCCAAATGGCACTCCTAGAAACAACTAATCTAAAAAAAATGAACTGAAGCAAAAATAGATTATTTAGATTCATCATTAGCGATAATGGCGTCTATTGTGTAATTTTGTTGATGATATTGTCTGTTCTATATGTGAACAATTTACTATAAAAATCAAATGTAAATATCAACTTTTAGAACTCTTGTTATTCATAAAGTATGAATAAAAATGATAAACGAATGTGAGTCCAAAAGTTTGATTAAGACATTCAGGAAAGGTAAATCTAAGTAAAAATCGTCAACACTAACTGCTACAAAATATAAATATAAACATAATAGATACGTATCATAGATTATTAATTGTTTAAATTATTTATTATTAATTATTTTTGTTATAAAATTATATATTTTTTAATTTGTAATTGTAATAAATTAATTATTTAAAAAATTAAATTTGGGATTATTGTATACTATTAATTAATATTAATATGATAGCCTGTAAAAGCAGCAAGTTGTAACTACCTATAATTAAAAGTGCAATTATCATGACAAATTATATGTAACCTAGGTTTTAGTATTATAATATTGTAACTTTTGTTGGTAGTTCAATAAATAAACACGTAGCTTAGCGGGTGAAGGGACTTCATAATTCGCATGAAAACTGTCGTTAGACCTATGGCCCCTTAACCATGATTTCCAAAACAGAGTAAGCATAGAGAATTGAAGAGCTAATACCATAATTGGGAAAAATATGTATAAATGAGACGCATTTATGAGATTTTTAAGCAAATATCGGGGAGAGTAATGCATGAAAAATAATAATATGTAGACGTTTTCAAAGAGAGCAAGTTATTACGTACGTTATTATGTACATTTTCGACTTATATTCAGGATAGCATGTATGCATATAAATGAGCCGATGGGACGTGTTTATGTATATGGTACGACCTAAATTGCTTGAGGGGTTGGAAAAGGGGGTGCTATATGCGTGTGCTTATGAAAAATCAACGAATATTATTTTTATATTATACCAAGAGAATATGGATTCTCGTAACATTTTAATCTGTTGTGAGGATTCTTTTTAGTTTAAAATTGTTTATAAACTAAAAAGAGTCCTCAAAACAGATTAAAGTTTTTAGTTAATACTTTCTTAGATTTACGCGAATGTTTGTCATTATTAAATAAAACTATCTTTTCGGATTATTTCCCGGATTTATTTTGATTTTTGGTTCCCGACGTTTCGAATGCTTTACAGCATCCATGGTCACGGGAGAGACTGAGGTGTTACATGTCTTGAAGGTATAGTTGTTACAGACAGCCTACCCACAATTAACAAAATGATTCATGACAAAATCATTTGTAAAAGTATATATTAATAGTGTTGCTCAGTAAGTTGTTTTTAAATAATAGCAGTAGTGGGTGGTAGTGGGTTCAAAGGCAGCCACCCTATGCTCGATCTCAGGATGCAATTTATATCCTTGCCAATCTGTTCATCGATTTAAGCGTGAAGAGGTAACAACTGTCAGACAGGGATATTTCACATTTATATATGTATTAGTATGGATATAGTCAACTTTTGGTACTGGTACATAGTTTAATATAAGAAAAATTCAGAATTAAGGCATAGTACCGACGGCTTTACGTGCTTTTCGAGGTACGGGGATCAAACGCTGCTAACATTCCACCTCCGGGCTGTTATTGAGAACTTTTTGGCAGACATACTTAATAACGAAACTTGGCCCGACACGGAACTCGAACCCAGGATCTCCAGATCTGTGGCCGAACTAGCCACACCGAGGCAGCGCCTAATATAATAAATAAGTAGTTAAAAATTAATTATTTTTTTTAAACTTTACTTTTAAACTTTTTATATTTGCATAAAAAGTAAAAGCGCCATTAAATGATGTTGATCATGGAGCGGTAATTAAAATCGCACGGGTTAAGTAAACGGACCTTAAAGAAATATTACTAGATATATATATCTATACATATAATAAAACTCTAAGTCGAATCTGTACATTAAATATTTTTTGGAAAATCTTATTGAAATACTGATTATTATCGATACAGTGGCCGAATCTATAGCTTTTAGATTTATTGTCGGTCTGTCTGTCTATCTGGCTATCTGTCTTAGAGCGTATCACAAGAAAAGTGTTGATAGCTGGTTATCTGGGTCACCATATAAGATTCCGGGGCAGAGGCTGACTGCTACCGGACGCGTCCCCGGGTGGCGGATAGGGGAACACCACTCGCGCCTGTTTGGCCCCAACAGGAGCTTCTTGTGGTACCGGAGCAATCCGGCGCGGACCAACAGCCAGGAGGGAAGGTTGAGGGAGCGGCGTTAGAGGGCGCCGTCTCCTTCTTGGAGGTAGTGCGGTGTCTCCGGCCGTTTTGCGGTAGGAGGTGCTGCGCGGGCCACACTGCCGGGGCTAGCCCGTCGGTGCGGCGGCTGGAGCGGGGCCATTTCGGTGGTCCTGCGTATGGCGAGGGATGTCGGCAGCCATTTTGGTCCGGAGGTGGGCCGACGGTAGGGGGGCCGCGGGGGAAGAGGAGTGTCGGTATGGCGATGCGCCGCTCGTCCCTATCTCCCGCGGCCTAACGGGGCCACCACCGTTGATGGTGGACGCGGTGGGGCTGCAGGGGAAGGGGAGTGTCGGCGTTGTCGCACCCTCTTCTCCTGCAGCCGTTTTGTGTTTGGGCTCGTTTCGCGGGCGTCTTTGGGGGGTTTTGCCCAATTTGGGTGGGGTTTATTATTTTTGCAGGTTGCCCACTTCGGTGGGCGGTGTTTGTGTGGTGTGGGGCTGCTCCGGGTACTTCTCTGATCAGCAGAGTGGGGACTTAGGAGCGGCCTCACTTCTTCTTGGGTTGATAGTCTTCCCATAATGAGGTTGTCCCGCTTGGGGCGGCCTCATGGATGGTGGCTTCGGCCAACCGTCGGGGCGTCGCGGTTGTATGCGAGAGCGATCCCGTGGCGTCCCACATGGCGGCAGGGGGGGGGAAGTTGGGTTTTAGTGGGTATGCCGGTCTCATTAGCCGGAGAGTCTCCACATAACCACCCCGGGGGAAGTCGGGTGGTATCCGTAATAGGATTTCCCAACTATAAAAAAAAAAAAAAAAAAAAAAAAAAAAAAAAAAAAAAAAAAAAAGGTCACCATATAAGATACCTTTTACTGCGGGAAAAT